TTTAGCGACCAATGTTGGTCGCTATCAACTTATCCTTCAGTTAGCGACCAACTTTGGTCGCAAGTTTTAAATTATATATATTTATATTTTATAAGTTTTATAAAATAATAATAAAATTATTAAAAAAATTTATGTGGGTCCCGCTTAAGCGACCAACATTGGTCGCTAATCTCAGTATATCTTTGACCAAACAAGTCTGACCAGTCCAGTCAACAGTTTGACTAAATTTGCGACCAAATAGCGTCCAACTTTGGTCGCTAAAGTATTTCAAATTTTTTTTTATTATTTTCGGCAGTTTGGCGACCAACTTTGGTCGCTTTTTTTGACAGACCAAATTTGGTCGCTAATCTTTGGTCGCTTTTTACAGGGATTCTAGTAGTGGATGGGTGTTGGAGCTGTCCAAAAGAATGTCAACACCATGATCCTAACCGGCTTTGCTGGGTTGTTTGTTGGTGCTTGTAGCATGGCCATCGGGGAGTTTGTTTCTGTGTACTCTCAACTAGACATAGAGCTTGCTCAAATGAAGAGGGACAAAACAACAGGAGGACAGAACCAAGAACATCAACAACAAGAAGAAGGCAACAAGGAGCAGCTGCCAAATCCATTTCAGGCAGCCGTAGCCTCAGCTATTGCATTTTCACTGGGTGCCGTTGTGCCAATTCTTGCTGCTGCATTTATAGCAAATCATAAGGTGAGGCTAGCTGTGATTGTGGTTGCAGTGAGCTTCGCATTGTTAGCATTTGGAGGAATTGGTGCTTTTTTGGGGAGAAGTCCTATGGCCAAATCTTGTGCCAGAGTCCTAATTGGTGGTTGGATGGCTATGGCCATTACCTTTGGGCTTACCAAACTAATTGGCTCTACTGGCATGAAGATGTGATGGGAACTTTATGATTCCTGTCCCTTGTCCTCTCAAATCATCTGTTTAAGAAATTTCTGTTGCACTGTTGACTAAAATTTCCTGGCTAAGACTAAAATATCTGTGTTATAATTCTGCTGCAAATGCTTAAGAATGGTATTGCCGCATTCTCCGAATTTTATATCTGTCGGAACTGAAAGACTAACTATAACACAAAATCTTGCTTCTTCCATTTGCTGGGTTGAATTTTTTGGTAGCAGACTTGCAGTTTAGGTGAAGTAATACTATAGAACTTTTGGACCATGTTGCTATATGCTAGATGAGACATCATTAACACCTGTTATAATGTAAAATTCAATCGTTTAAGCACTTTGAAAACAATCGGAGGTACTATTTTATAAAATTTGAAGTACTCTATTCCATAAGCACCACGATCCCAAACATTGCTTCGTTACTTAATGAAGAATGCATTCAAATGACAATTCCAAAAAGACTTTTTTGACTGGACGTTAACATTTTACTTCTATATATATATGGTGCAAGCTAGGCAAATAAGGTAGTATCCCAACCAAGATTTCCTAGGCCTGCTAACCCATCAAGTTATAGCAGGAGTAATAGGTAATAGCTGGTTTCCACATCCAGAAATAGGTCCATAGCTGGAGAAACCTGCAATTTGCTATGTTAACTAAATACGTACAAAATGGTAGAAAAGGGAGAAAACTGAACCAATATGCTTCGCCAAAGAGGAGCTCTGGTGAGGAAACAACAATCCCCTATTAAAACACTCAATAACTCAAAACCTCCCAAATTATTATGATTAAAGGCGATTGCCAGCAGTAGTAAAATTGCAGTATTTAAAATTAGAGCAGATATGACAGAGATCAAGATGAAACAAGGCACTTTAAAAGGAACACGTCAAAATTGGATTATTCTTTTCTTTTCTTTTTTTGGATTGTTTTGCATACCTCTAATTCTCTCATCTATAACTTTATCACAGATAGCAGACCACAATGAAGAGACAAGTATAACTTGAATAAATATTAAGAAGCAACGGAATATGAAGAACTAACTAGAGATTAAGAAAAAGGACAGAGAGAAGAAGTTAAAAGAAAAGCAACAGACATAGATACTATTTGAGTCATAAACATGCATGAAAACAAGTAGCTATAAGCAAACATAGAGACTCCCTTAATTAACCAGATATTTTGAGTGCCTTAAGAAAATCAGGGTCCACCTCTTCTATATCATCATCTCTGAAGAAATCTTCTAGTCTCTTCTGCAGCCTTTCCTCTTCGTCTTCGATTTCATCATAATTACGTTCCTTTATTTTAGCGGCCTCCACTTTTCGCTCAAAATCCAGTGCTTCTTCGCGGCAGCCGCAGCGGCACTCAACTCTAACCCTAGCAAACATTTCTTCAGCCAACAGCCTTAGGGTGGATTCATCACAGCAACAGTAAGAGAGTTCACAAACTCAACTGTAAGATCAGCAGGTGATTGATACGGAGCAAAGAGAGGATGCCTGCGGATTTTGTACATTCAGCAGAGAAGATGATACATAACGGTTAAGTGTAGATAGATGTTTCAAGGATGTTCACTTAAGTCCCTTATCTTTTAAACTAGATAGTTCTCTAAATTACACACTGGCCCCTTAAATTCCTTTGTCTGATATAAAGTAGGTCCTGCCCAGTTAGTTACTGACATGGCAGAAGAAGTCGCATACACAGCTGTAGTTGCTTAGGTCATTTTCTCATTTTCCTCTCTATATAGGATGTGTAATTTTCTCCTTTTCTTAGTATGAATGAAGATCCCTTTTATTTTGCCCTAATTTTATATTCTGCATTTATCTTTTCCTTTCCTTTCTTCCCTTTCTGTGTTTTTCCGTATTGTTCCATTGCCTCTTGTATCAGTGGTATCTGAGCAATTCTTGGCTATGTGGGCAACAATGTCTGATAATATGAACAATGTTATAAAGGTGCTCAAAAAGATCTCACTCGATATGTCAAGTTTCATAGCTAGACAAGATTAGTTGGAGGCAAACCAAGAACAAAATAGCAAAAATCAGGAGGGAGCCATGAGTAATCTTAGAGAGGTGCTCAATGAAGTCATCCATGGAGGAAAGAGGCCGGATCGTGACAAATTTATAACCCAAAGTGGAGGTGAGCTTTACTCTCCTAATGACAGACCATTCGATTTTGCTGACTTAGCTTCTCCTAGCTCTAATGGGGCTAATAATTCTGCTATACTTGTGAGCCACCCTGCTGTCAGCTCCATTCCTCCAAACCGCCAAACTAATTTGACCACTACACTAACAACACCAGCTCCTAAATTTCCATAAACCCTAGCCCTTCCCAGTATATCCAGAACCAAAGGACTTCTCAGCTGCAACCTTCTCCCTTTCAAACCCCGGGGTTGCAAGCTTTTCAAAACCCCTTTCCTAGAACAGTAGTTACTACAATACCCCATCTTTCTAGTAATCAAAGAAGGTATTATCAACCACCACAGCCCCAGGGCTCCCCACTAGTAATGCCACCACTTTATCAAACATACAACCAGGCCAGCCAATTTCCTTCTGCCTACTATAACCAAAACATACATATACATCCACCATTGTACTACCAGACCTCATATGTATCTACCCCTACCCATACCAGAATGTTCCAACTACCAATCACTGCCACAACCCACCTACTCACAATGTGACACTGCCCAACATATCCTTTACCAAGTACCATAAGGTTGAATTTCCCAAATTCAATGTTGAAGACCTTATGACATGGTTGTACTAGGTCGAGCAATTCTTTTTTTCTGATGAGGACCTTACTATTCAGCCGAAAATGAAACTAGTTTCCATGCAGTTTGAAGGGGATGCCTAACAATGGCATTTTGGGGCTGAGTACTCTGACCCTATGACTGAAATTATGAATGTCAAGCATACTGAGAGTGTGAAGGATTACCAAAAGGCTTTCAACAGTGTCATGACCAGAATGAGCTTGTTAGTGGAGCATGCTATTAGCATCTTCTTGAACAATCTTAAACCTGAAATCGGCAACGCTATGAGAATTGGTAATTCCACCAGTTTACCACAAGCCTACTATTTGGCCAAGCTGCATGAGGCCAGCTTTGTTGTGCAAAGAAAAGCTATCAAGGCGACATCGGCAACACACCTGCACTCTGCTGTAAGGACATCTCAAGGGCAAGGCTCTGGTGATTGGGCAAAGGCTGCTACGCCTGCCTACAAACCACCTGTTACTGCTAACCTTGATGGTTCTAGGAAAAGAAGGCTTACACCAGCTGAAATGTATTAAAAGAGGGCCCAGGGTATTTATTTTTTCTATGATGAAAAGTTCACACCAGGGAATAAGTGCAAGGCTAAAAGGCACTTATATTCTATGGAGATAGGTACAACAGAACTGGAGGATTAGTGGAGGAATAGAAGTGGAGGTAGAGAGCACTGAGGAACCACAAGAAGAATCAGACCTTGTTGAGAACTGTGAGATATCACTTCAAGCCTTGAATGGCACTAAGGGATACGGAACTCTTATGATACGAGGCTTCTCTTAACGGAATCCTATCAATATTCTCATTGATTGTGGATCCACCCACAACTTCATCATGAAAAGGCTGCCAAGAAAATAGGGTGCAAAATCAGCCAAATACACCCTCAGGATGTGTCTGTAGCTGATGGTAGAATCATTCAATCTGTTAAGGGAAGCAAGGAATTTAAGTGGCTCATGCAAGGGGTTCTTTTTCAAGATGACTTCTTAGTACTTTCCATAGGCAGGTGTGATGTCGTACTGGGAATACAATGGTTGTGCAAATTAGGTGACATCAAGGTCAATTTTGAGAAGCTTTTTATGCACTTTCTCTATCAAGGGAAGTCTATCACACTATAGGGTATTCACCCTTCATTCAAAACTGTTGATGCCAACGCTTTGAACAATATTTTTGTTGATACTGCTCAGATTTTTATGATCAAAGTCTGCTCTGCCAAATACCCCAAACTGCAAACTCACAGGCTCATGAGGAAATCCCAGTGCCAATTCAATCATTGCTTAATGAATATGGAATGCTCTTCCAGGAACCTAAACACTTGCCTCCTTCAAGATGAGTATTTGACCATCACATTCCCTTAGTAGAAGGCAGTTCACTTGTTAATTCTCGACCATACAGGTACTCCCCAATATAGAAGAATTTGATTGAAGACATGGTGCAAGAAATGATGGCTCAAGGAATCATACAGTACAACTCTAGATCTTATGCATCTCATGTTGTCTTAGTTGGAAGGGATGGATCATGGCGATTGTGTGTTGATTATAGGGCCCTAAACAAGGTCACAATTAAGGATAAATTTCCCATACCTATCATTGAAGAGTTATTGGATAAGCTTGGAGGATCAGAAATCTATTCAAAGATAGATTTAAGAGCAGACTATCATCAGATTAAGATGGCACCCTCTAATGTACGCAAAACAACATTTAAGACACACTCAGGACACTACGAATACTTGGTCAAGCCATTTGGATTGACCAATGATCCTTCTAGCTTTCAAGGGCTTATGAACCACATCTTTCAAGCATATCTGACGAAGTTTATCCTAGTGTTCTTCGATGATATCCAAGTTTTTAGCAAAACCTTGGCTGAGCATGTGCAATACCTCAAAATCACCTTCGATTTGTTAGTCCAACACTAACTTTTTGCTAAAAAAAGTAAGTGTGTGTTTGCAGCAACTAGGATTGAATACTTAAGGCACTATATTTCTGCTGAATGAGTGACAACAGACCCCAAGAAAATAGAGGCAATCCAAGGCTGGCCTGAATTTGTGAACATCAAACAGTTAAGAGATTTTTGGGCTTAGATGGGTACTACAGAAGGTTCATCAGAGGATATGGAGTTCATAGCAAACCATTTACTGACTTACTCGAGAAAGACAGTTTCAAGTGGTCTCTTCAAGCCCCTTCAGCTTTTGAGAAGCTCAAAGAGGCACACACCTCTTCACCGGTGTTGGTATTACCTGACTTCTC